AATGATGATATATGACTTCTCAAAGGAACTACTACAGCCAAGGAAAATTTCACCCTTAAGGACAATTTAACAAACTTTAATTGTTGTACCTTCTGAAAACTAAAAATTCCTCTTCGAAAAAACGTGACTTTTAGAGTTTGTTGTGTAATGACTGTATTTGAAGAATGTGTGTGGTTGCATTAGTTTGACATTTATGAATTAATACGGTTTGATTACAAGGTTGCTATGTCTTCAATAATAGAGGTGTGATATAGTTGAGATGCCATCAAAAGAGATTTACTATGCCATCGAAAGAAATTTACCGTGCCATCCATCAATACATTGCAAAACATCAAATTGGTGAGCGATCCTAAAATATTTAATAACTTAGATTTACTCACAGGTCTCTGCTTGACAATACCCTATGTTAGATATTTTAGGATTATTTTACTATGTTAGATTCCTTCTTACTTTTTTTCATTTATAAAAAAGTAGGGGAGATGCCATCAAAAGAGCAAATGGAACTATTTTTTCTGAAGAGGTCATTTTAATTACATTTGTTGAAAGATAATATTTTTGATTTTTTCCTATACATAATTTTACGTTTTGTTATTTTAATATAAGCCACCTTCTTCCAAAAAAACAATGAGAAGCTCTGTCAATGGTTAGTTTATTTGCTTATGATTCTTGATTGCTTGCACTTAAACCACCTTCTTCATCGTGATGTCAAGGTTTGTGCCATCTGTTTTACAATGTATTGATTATATATAATTGCAATTCTATGTTATATTTTATGTAATGTGTTTACATCATTGCTCAAGTTTAATTTTGTTTAATGATATCACAGTAGATTTATTAGTTTGAAAAATTATCTAAAATAACTTGAACTAATTTGAGCATATTTTGTTCTCCCTCGGATTTTATTCTTTAGATGTACTCATTAATTTGTCGTCTACCCGGGATCTGAATAAATTCAGTCCTAAACCTATGGGGATAGTCCAGAGTATTTTAGTGGCTAGGAGCAAATGTTCAATTCATAGCAGGCAATTGAGGTAGCAGACTCATCATTGATAATTGTTTTTCTTCTCACTTGAGCCTTCTGCTTCCTAATGCTCATAATGTTCACTCACTCACTCGCTCACTTACGCACTTACGCTCGGCTTTGCCCCTTGGGTAGGCTTAGTTGGGTTTACTAAGCCATAGGGACATGTTCTCTCATTACTTTCTTCATTTTCTCTCTGTGCTCCCCCTCAACTGGAGCACCCGGTATGCTGTGTCATTGTTAGGCACCGGGGAGGATAACATTGAACACTCCCCCTAGAATGTTGCATTCGTTGAGAGATTCCTTGCTTTGTCGGTGTAAGGCGCCAGGAGGAGAAAACTGAAACTCCCCCTCAGAATGTGCAAGGATTGATTGCTCACAGCTTGTCATACCCGCCATGTGTGTGGAGCAATCTAAACATGTACCACACATGACGGTTTCCCTGAACTCACCATGTAGAATTTCAGCATATTGATGAACACTTAATGTTGATGAGTTAGGGGAGGCTTCAGCAGTTGATTGTTGATTGTTGTAAGATGACCGTTGACGCGAGGTTGATTGAATTATCTACGATTTTTAGACCTTTACATTGAAGTTTAGAAAAGTTTTGACCTCAGGGTTGACTTTGAAAGAATTTGAACAGATTTGCCTAATTTTTGACCTGGACATCGGTGATTTACAATGTTTGTCGGAAAACTCACGTTTTGACCCTCAAAGACTGCGAGTGAGGGCGCGTGAGAATGGGTTCTGGGGTAAACCCCAAGAATAAATAAAGATATATGCGTTAGCTTTCCAACAAAAAAAAGTTTGCTCAAATCGGATCACCGAGTCAAAAGTTATGGCCAAAACAGTGCGGTGTCGCAGAAAATCTCAAATATTGAGTTTTTGAGGAAAATCTTCGAGGTTGAGGTTCTCGATGTTGAATTTCGAGAGCAGGTGAATTTAAACAAAATTCTAAGGCAAAAACTCGAAATCCAAATCTGGAGATTTTAATTTCGAGTTTGCCTTGAAGAGTAATGACGAAATCCACCTGCAAAACAGACCTCAAAAAAACGAAATTTTCAGAATTTCAAAATGTTTGAACATCGAAAACTTTGGAGTTTCGAAAACATCATAATCTCGAAAACTTGCTGTTTGAAAAACATCAGAACATCGAAAACTCCTGAAACATTTATATAAGCAGGGAATCATTCAGAGATCCTTATAATGTAAAGCTTCGATGAACTGCAAAGGATGTCAAGATTCGAATTATGAGTTCCAAGAAACTGCAAACTTTGAAAGATTCAAAACATCGAGAAATTCCGAAAATTCTGAAATTTTTTAGAATGTCGAAATCCAAAACATCGAGTTCCTAAAACTCAAAAAAAAATTCCAAAACTCGCAATTCCAAAACTCTCAAATTTTAAAAACTCGAGGTTTAAAACTCGATGTCCGAACTCGAGGTTTAAAACTCGAGGTCAGAACTCGAGGTTTAAAACTCGAGGTCAGAACTCGAGGTTTAAACTCGAGGTCAGAACTCGAGGTCAGAACTCGAGGTCAGAACTCGAGGTCAGAACTCTAGATTTAAACTCGAGGTCAGAACTCGAGGTTTAAACTCGAGGTCAGAACTCGAGGTCAGAACTCGAGGTCAGAACTCGAGATTTAAACTCGAGGTCAGAACTCGAGGTTTAAAACTCGAGTTGAAGACCGCGAGTTTACAACTCAAGTTGAAGACCGCGAGTTTACGCATCGAGTTGAAGACCGCGAGTTTACACATCGAGTTGAAGACCGCGAGTTTACACATCGAGTTGAAGACCGCGAGTTTACACATCGAGTTGAAGACCGCGAGTTCATGACTGCGAGTTTAAAACTCTCGATTTTTAAAACTTTCGAATTTTGAGAATCTGAAAACTGTTCTGAATAGCCCTGAAGGTCGCGATCCCTCCTGTATCTGTTTCAAGTCAAAATCGTTTCTGCAGGCATATAAAAGCATAAACTCGAGTTTCCAAGGAGAGTTTTTTGAAAATGAAAATTTGCAGAAAACGAAAAAGAAGATATGCTGTAGAATCGGTTTTGAGAGGCGATTCCAACAGTATAATTTTTACAGATTTTCGTTCACAAACAAGATTACAGGAGCAAAACTCTATATGAAGAAAAAGAGAAGAAAAGCAGAGCATTCTTCGTTAGATCCAAGAAAATCGCAGATACATTCAACCTGTTTCACGCCTCGGCTCTGATACCAATTGATAATCCCAAAATACTTAACAAACAACAAATATAGTAGTTATAGAAGAAGCAGATAGAAAGATATGTAGATATTATACGAATCTGGTATACCGTGTAAACTGGCCGCTGCTCTCCCTGGAGAAGGAGAGCAGCGGCAACCCTACTCTCTATCTTTACGCCTCTAAACTCTAAGCCTCTATCGATATGCATTAGATGTGATGATTTGGACCGTTAGATTTGCTTTAATCTAAGTGAAATTCAATATGCATTAGATGAAAGTGTAATGTGCATTAGGTGAAATTGAAATGTGTACTAGGTGAAACTGAAATGTGCTGAAATAAAAGGTACGATGTGATGTTATTTATGTACCTTTTATTTCGCACATTTTAGTTTCACCTAATGCACACTTGAGTTTAATTTTTTATTCTGCACATTTCAATATCATTTGGTGCACATTTCAGTTTCACCAAATGCACAATCCAGATCCACATAATACAATCCAACGGTCCAGATTCGTTCTCATTTCTCTCCTGAGAGCCCGTTCTTACCGGAACCGCTCCATATATATATATATATATATATATATATATATATATATATATATATATATATATATATATATATATATATAAGGCCCGAGCCGGCATCGGCCCGTTCCTGGAACCTACCCGGGCCGGCACTGGGCCTCCAACTCCCAAACCCAGTCCCGCCCAAGGCCCGACCCGGACCCAGTTCCAACCTGGGTCCGGTCCATCCCTAAATGAACATACACATTTCTCGAAAAAAGATGAACATACATCCAACTTATCGCCTGATCCACCGCTCTGTGTTAGTGTATTGTACGAATTTAAATTGCACAAAGATTGTAAGCTCGAGCTTCTAACGTGGTCATACTTTATATCCAAAGGTTCGTTGAGTATGTATGTTAAGATTTTTTTGACTACATCTTATTTCTTTTTAACATATTCTTTAATTTCTAATTACAACATTAATTTGTATGTAGTTACTATACTCCCGTGCAACGCACGGGTATAAATAGTAGTTAATTTATTATACTCATTACACTTAAGATGTCACATTTTATATACAATTACCAAGTCATAAGTATGTCATTCTTTCATTTAACCATGCTCATCATATTTTCGAAATGGAATCCAAAATAAAACTCATCAAATTAACATTTGCATATATCTGGACTCATTTGTTTTTTAATTACTTAAATCTAAGTATCTAACATGGCATTGTGGGACCAAAAAAAGTTAATGAAGAACATTTATAAGGGCATCCTCATTGGGAGGATTATTACAAGATTAAATTGGTGACATGCCAGTTTTTTTAGAGAATTATCAATGAGTGACATAGATTATTTAATAGGATTATTTGCTAAAATAATCTAGGATCAAAATATGAATCCGGATTATTTTAAGATCATTTGAAAAGTATATGTAATAGAGATAAATGCGGGATAGAGAAAAAACAGATTATTTGAAGATGATGATTGAGAGACATAAACGAATTTTGAGATTATTTTATAATTAATTACATAACAATATTTAAATGGTAAAAATCATATAAAAATTGATTATTAGAGATCATGAAGGGAGATGCTCTAAGGAATTAAGCATTAGTATAGGTACTTAGTGGCGTGCAAAGGGCCAAAGGGGATCAAATTAAATTCGCACCGATCATTTATTCTATGAATGAAAAAAGTAATTTGGAATCGTATTCTCTTGTTCTTTAGCAAGCAAAGCAACGTAGAGATGATGAGGCTTTGCCTTAAGCGGATGGATATCGCAATCAACCTCTAACGTAATTAGCTTAAAATTAAAATACCCATTCGTACTGTTATTAAGAAACAATTTTAAAGAAGAAAGAGGGCAGGATGGGCTGTGTTTTGAGTTTCCTCCGGCCAACCCACCGCCCTTCCAGCTTGGCAAGTGGTACAGCTCACAAGAAGAAGAAGAGGAACAACAATTACCAGTACATCCCTGACAACTTCACATCCCTTCATCAGGTTTCTTAGCTTAATTTGATCAAAATTCCATTCTTGTTCTTCTTTTTTGCGGTAGGCCGGGGATTCAACCCAAACATCTTATTGCAGCCCGTCAACTGATTCTATCAATTAAATACGATGACTGAATCAACTATTAATAACCCATTAACATAATTTGTTATCCGCTAACCGTTAACCATTAAATGTCAAACACGCTCAAAGTCATAAATGAAAGGAAAATGCTTATAACGGCTTTTACTTTTTATATCCTACTGAGTACCATATTATGAAGTACTTTTTCAAAACTATTATAGCTTTTTTTGAAGGAAAACTATTATAGCTTTTAGTTTTCAAAAATCACTTTTCTTTATAAACAATACTAACTTCTACTTTATCCATCCTTTATTACTTCTGACATACTCCGTATTTCTTTTCGAGAAATTTTTATTATTTGTCGACATTTCTCTTTTTAATAAGTTTTTTCTGTAAAATTACTTTCATACAATCACTTTATATAATTTTAACAAATTACTTTCTTTTTCCAATTCTTCATTAATTTCATCATCTATTTACTCATTTAATTACTTTTTCTAGCTTTATGCATTCTCTTCCTACATTTTATTTACTTTCTTCCTCCACTCACTTAGTTTCTTATTGTATTACATTCTTTTTTCTATGGATTAGCTGGCGTACGTCTGACTATCTTTTCAAAATTAATTATAAGGTAGACATGGAATATTTAGCAACGATTGGCTTAAATAAAAGGCAAAAAAATGATATGTAAGCTAAAAAACGATTGGCTTAAATATATAAGCTTTTTTTAAGTAGATCTATTTATTTAACATTTTATTGAATACATGACCTTATTGAATACATGACCATTTTCCCTTCATTTAAACACAAACTCTTCATCCATGGTGTGTCAACCCTAGGACACTTCATAAACATGCGTGGGTACTATATCGCACTTTTCATACCTATAGGCTAAAAAAATCATTTCTCAAAAAACGTACACTTCATGATCAGACATCAGTGTCAAGCCTAGTGACAGCCTCGAATTAAAAAAGCTAGCACCTTTTTGAAGGTAACTAACTAGCACCTTTTTGAAGGTAAGCCAGTACCCTTTTTTACACGTACAAAAATTAATACTCCCTTTGTCTCTAAAACATTTCCAATTTTCCCTTTTCATTCATTCCAAGAAGAATTTTCATTTCCCTATTTGACAAAGAATTTTTTGTTCACAACATTTCTTTCTCCTCTGCACAACTCTCTACCACACATTTCTCACTTTCTTAATCAGCGTGCCACTTTATTTTGGAAGAACCTTTAGGGATGGAGGTAGTAAAAAAGAGTACATCTTACTCCATATATGGTGGTGTCTAGGTCTCTTAAAGAATTACTAACTCCCTCTCACTCAACTTTGTCAATTTGATATTGGGTGTGAAATTGGAATATTAAAAAATGTGTGAGTGAAGTTTATGCGGAGAAGATAGAAATAAATAGAGCCACAAATTAGTGTCAAAGTTTCAAAGTTTTTTGGGAAAAATAAAAAAGGACAGTTGACAAAGTTCAATGGGACAGTGGTAGTATTAGTTTTCCTTTTTAGACTTGACTAAATAAAGTCTTCTTTCCTTATTTGGTAATAAACTCCTATAAAGTTACTCTATTGTCATAAAAAAATATTTACTTAGTATAAAAAATATTAAATAATACGGAGTATATATTAAATTAAACAATGTGAAAACATCGTACTTGCAGTAAAATTTACCCTAAGGGCCCATTTGGTTGGGGGTAATCTCACATGAAGGCCGGAATGTGATGCACGGAATGTTAGATACCCTTGTTTGGTTCATGGGTTTGAAGAAAAATCGGGAAAGTTACATTCCCGGGAATGTTATATGGAGGGGAATGTTAAACTTATCCATACCTTAGGTTATCTCACATTGGGGGGGTGATCTAATTTTCTTCCGAAAATACCTTCAATTAATTATCTCTTTTCATTGAATTTGTTTATATATTCAACTATTATCAAATTTAATTTTTTGTGACTTTATAAACTTTTAATAATGTAGTGTCTAAATATGTAAATTTTATTTACTAAAAACAATCTTATTATTGATAGAGATCGGTTAGTTTCATGGTCATTCGAACATCTTAAATTGTGTAACAACCTTGTAGGTGGGACGGACAGAGTATTAATTATATTCGAATGCCTATTTTTTGTTATTTGCATATTTTTTTCCTTAACATTTATATTTTTTAAGGTATTTATGTTATAAGAGTTATAGATTTAAAGGGCATAAAACTAATTCATCATATATGCAATACAAGATATCTTTCAACCAAATAAATTATGACACATTCTCTAGTTGTTAACCAAACACAAATGGGAATCAATTGAATACATTCTCAACAATCTGACATTCCCAGCAATCTGACATTCCCATGGTAATCTGACATTTCTTGAACCAAACGTACCCTAAATGTAAAGAGCATTTGAGGAAGTGAGGTCATGCATAGGAAAAGAACTTATTTCCTTCAAGTGGATGCCATTGAAGCTGGAATTTTATTTAAGTTATTGGGGTAGTAGTTAATTCATGTATTGCTATATATTTCCTCAGTTGTATACTATCGTATTTGATATTTTGTATTCCATTTGATTTTCATTATTATTTGTTTATATTTTTATTGATAATACCTTTATGTTGCATCTTTTATTTCTTACTTTTTATATCATTTTCCCTACTCTTTCATCCACTCTTAAAGTTCTTGCACATTTTCTACCCTATTTCGTGTGCTACGAGCTCTTTCCTTCTTAATCTAATTTCAAAATTCTATTGTAACAAATACTACATCTGTCCCTTATTTAAGTTCATGGTTGGAGTTTCACGGTCTCTAACATCGACGTTTGACCACTGATATATAAAAATAGACACTTATAGAACTTATTATAACCTAACATCTCAATAATACTCCGTGTATATTATTGTTAAAGTAGAGTATTCCAAATTATTTTGAGTTTTACATCATATAAAATACTCCGTATTATGTAGTACGATTTTTGAGTAATTAACGATCAATGTTAACAAAATTTTCCTTAAAAAGTCAAATGATGAACTTAAGTGTGGGGCGGAAGGAGTATAAATTAAAAGAGGTAGTATACAACTATTTTATGTGTTACAACAATTTTGGCATGCACTAGGAACAATTTACCCTCAACTTATTCATACTAAATTTTCATACCTAATTCCGAGGGTTTATCGGATGTCCTGATGGGACAATTCTGAAAAAAATTACCGGTGGGTGTAGCTCAACTGGTTGCGAGGGAGTGCCACAAGAGTTAGGTCCCGGGTTCGAATCTCGGCAACTGCGATGAGGGGATACTATGCTAAAATGCATAGGGCCTCTGCAAGTACCGGGGACAGAGTCCCACTCTCTATCTGTCAGATTGAGATTATAATCCAATTTACATCCTTCCAACGTACCGTCCGGTCGGGGTTGGAGGACCCTCAGGGATGGGGTGTCATCCTTTTTTTTCCCGATGGGACAATTCCGAGGATTTATCGGATGCATGTCCCTGAGGGGACAATTCTGAGGATTTAAATGATTGCTAGTACGAAAAACAAAATTAACCCTTTGGAATGGCATGTGTAACTTTTACTCCCTCCGTCCCAAAATTATCTTCATAGTTACTATTCACACGGTCAACTCAAATTACTCTTAAACTTTTATTTTATATATTAAATTTTTATCAAACTTAAATTTTCTTGATCAGCCTTTGTAGTGGATTTAATGTAGTTTCTGAATATGTAAATTTAATTTACTAAAAATAATCTGAGTGTGAACAGGGGTCAAGTTGCTTTATCGTCAGTCAAACATCGTAAACCGAACTACGAAGATAAATATGGGACAGAGGGAGTAGTTATTAATGATTTAATGGTTTGGTTTGAATTAAATAGTACCCCTCCGTCTCATTCACAGGTTTCCACTTTTCTTTTTTGGATGTCTAACTTAAAGATTCTCATTTTCTATTTTAGGAAACATTTAAAACTCTTAATAATTATAATTTAATCATCAAATATTAAAAATAGTACATCTATAACATCACATTTATCATCAATAATTCATTATACTACACCCGTCCCAATTTACTTAGCCATCTTTGACTTTTGCAGTCAAAGGTGGTAAACTTTGACCAATTATTTAAACTAATGATAGAGTATATCTAGAGAGAAGTGAGAGCTAGAGAGAAAAGTGCAATAATATGCTTCAATAGAATGATTTTGTAACCCCTATAACTACTCCCAAGGGGAGTATTTATAGAGAAAATTAGGGCTGCGCTCCCAAGTCTTGGGCTTGGGAGGCCCATTTACAACTGGACCACTACTGGGCCGAATACAAAGCCACTAATGGGCTGTACAAATGAATAAGTATAAAATCCGGTTCTGTGAAGTCTTCGTGGCCGACGAGGGCACGGCCGACGAGGGCACGGCCGACGAGGGCACGGCCGACGAGGGCACGGCCGACGAGGGCACCCGGGTTCTTTGGGCTCAGGACCATAATATGAGTTGGCCCCTTTTCGGCCGACAGGGGTGTCTTGGCCGACGAGGGTGCCACTCTGTGTCTTGCGCTTTCCGTTCCTCCGAGTATGTGGGTCCGGGGGCTCAGACCCATATACTCCATCAGGAGTCCCCCACTCTCTAAGCTGAGACGTAGACGAAGTGAAGGAGAGTAGATTCCCGTGCTTTAGTGCTTTTGGCCGATGCGGGCATCCCCGGGCCGTTAGCCGTTGCGGCGTTGGCGTTGTTTCCTCTTTGGTGATCCTGTTCTGTGCTTTGGCCGTTACCTGTCCCTCGTTGTGGGCGGGGAGGCCGTTGTTTCCTTAATGTGTTCATTTGAGGATGATGAGTGTCTTGTTTCAATGGCGGCCGTTGAAGGCACGCTTTCCCTTTCCTGGACGTTGGTGGTTGAAGTTTATGTTTGGGCCGATGAGGCCGTTGAGGTTGTTCCTTGCTTTGAGGACGATGGCGTCCTTTCCTTTGGGTGGCCGATGAGGGTGCTCGCGCACTCCTTTTGGCCGTTGTTGATGATGTCATGTGACTCTGGCCGATGTGTCCATTGTGATGCGTGGACGATGTGGCCATGCTTTGTGGTTACATTCATGTTCTTTGCATTGTTCCTCTTTGTTTTGTTGAGGCCGATGTAGTCCCCCAGTCCCCCACTGCTTCAGGCCGAAGAGTGTGAGGGGTGAAGGAGTTGCTTGAGTCCCTGGCCGAAGCGGTCTCTCCGTAGTCCCCCTGAATTCAACCCTCATGGCGATTTTATGGCCAAGGTAACCCTGTGGGAGAACCCTTGTGCGCAGATCGCTTGTAGAGAGTTATCATCAAGGGTCATTACGAGGAGCCGATGGCTGTGGGCTCTTTGTTCCTTTTGTTCTGTGGCCGCTATGGGCGTTTGTTACGTTCCAGGCCGTTGTCGTCTCCTTATTGTTGGCGTTCGTGAACCTGGCAAACAAGATGGGACGTTGTGGGCGCTTGCCGGCAAGTAGGACGATGTGGGCGCTTGCCGGCAAGTAGGACGATGTGGGCGCTTGCTGGCAAGTAGGACGATGTGGGCGCTTGCTGGCACTCGTGAAGCCGGCACGTGTATGGGCCGTAGAGTCCGTCTTGCCAGTGGGCTGTTGTTATTGAGTTTGGCCCGTTGGTGACGTGGTGGCCTCCCATTGGTGACCGCTGATGTGGCCATTGGGAGGGTGCCACGTGTAGTGACCGTTGGATGGGGGGTTCTATAAATACCCCTCCCCCTCCGACGAGAAACCACATTTGCATTCTGAATTGTCGAAGTGCTGGCCATTTTTCTAGAGAGATAAACTCCCAAGCCTGTTCTTCGTGTTCTTCGTTGTTCAAGGTTAGTGTTCATCGCCATCTTCTGTACTTTGTGCATACTTTGCTTCCTAGGCTAGTGATCTAGTGTTAGGCGTTTGAACACCCTTAGATCCTAAGTTCCTTCCCTTAGGCTCGTAGTAGTTTGTTGTGATGAAGAGCTTGAACGAAGACTACTACCCGTACGACGACCAGCCCTCCACCAGGTCACTCGACTATGAGATGCTCGAGGAGTTCGAGGAGGAGATAGAACATTTGAGTCCTTACAAATCCGAAGAGCTGTTGGACGATGAAGTCGAGGACGAGGAGTCCGCCTCTTCTTCCAGGGGTGAGGACGCAGGTGCGTCCCGAGTGGTGGACGGGGCGTCCACTTCCGCTGTCATTCCCTGCCCGAGGCCGGTGTCTGCCGTGAAGGGAGAAGATAAGTCGAAGAGGGTGAGGAGGCCGAAGAGTGGGCCGAGCCTCTCCTACCTGGATCTCACCAACATCTTTTTGATCAAGCCGGAGAGCAGCGCGGCCGACTATCTTGTTGCCCAGATGTATGTGGGGCCGTTTGGGCGGGTTAGGGCACCCAGGCCGACGGACCATGTTCTTCTTCCGCCACCGGGATACTTTGGAGTATACCCGATGAGTTTTGCTAAGGGGTTGAGGTTCCCCCTTCACCCTTTCATCACCGAGTACCTGGACATGGTAGGGCTTCCTCCGGCCTTACTGACGCCGAACAGTTATTCCTTGATGGTGGGCTTTTTACTCCGGTGTGAGGAGCTGGGCTACAGGCCGACAACGGCCCTATTCATGAATTTGTACCAGATCGGCCGAGGAAGCCACAAGAACTGTGCGGCCTATGCTACTCTTCAACAACTGCCGAAGAAGAGGAGCTTCACGGACTTGCCTTCGTCCATTCATGGGTGGAAGAGCAAGTTCGTTTTTGTATCCCTGGGTGAGAGTGGCACCGAGTTTCCCTCCCTCGGCCATACCGGGAGGTTCAATCTCCATGACCCGCCGAAGAGCTCTATCTTGGACGCTCAGGTGGAGGCTTTCCTGGAAGGGGGGCCGAGGAGCGTAAAGGACTACATTACTGAATACAAGATGACCGCCCTCGGCTTCTTTAGATACCATGTGTATGGTGATAAGGAGGATGACCTCCAACTCTGGCCGAGGATGACCACCACCTTTGAAGAGGCCGACGGCCCGGACTTGGGCATTCCTGCTGAGGCCGATGGTAATTATTTCTTCGGCTTCGTGTCTTTATGTTTTGTTCCTTTGCCTTACTAATCTGTTGTGTTTTTCCTTTGTAGATTTTGCGATGGATCGTCGTTCCATAATGGCTATTGCCAAGGCCAAAGCGGCCGAGGAGTTGGCTGCTAAGGCGGCCGAGGCGGCCAGACGTGCCGCGGCCGATGGGAGCGGGGCTACTACTGGTGCGGCCCCAAAGCCTGCCCCATCAAAGAAGAAGAGGCCGGCCACTGACGGCCAGAAAAAATTAACTGAAGCCGGCCTGAACGTCTCCAAGAAGACGAAGAGGGCACCTTCCCCTTCTCCGGCTACCGAGGCCGGTATTCTGACTGTCCCCAGTGTGGACGATGGTGGTTCCGTCGTGGACCTTACTGCTGCTGCTGATGCTGCCCCATCGCTTCCTCTCGTCCAGGAACCACGGACGAAGAGGGCCGGCAAGGAGATTGTCGGTGCCACCTACCAGAAGATGGTAGAATACCCCGTCGGCGGGGGTGTGTTTGATGATGTCGTCCTTGGCCACGACGTCCTGGCCCAGGCCATGCCGGCCAAAGATCGGGCTTACTTGAAGAAGCTCGGGGACGTAAAGATTTACGAGGGCGGCATGGACCTCCTCGTCCAAGTAAGTTACCTTTCTTCGTATGTGTCGTTTTTTTTTGTCGTCCGTGTAGATTCATTTCCCTGACTTTTGTTTCCCTTGTTCTGCAGAGTGCCTTTATGCTCATGGAGAGCCATAAAAGGCAGTACCGGGAGATAGCTCGCTTGAAGGAGCTGGAGCAGAAGGCTGCCTCGGCCGACGAGGCAGTAGCTTGCCTGGATCGGCTCCGGGATGATGCCAGGGCTTTGCAGGCGAGGGCCGATGAAGCCGCTGCAGCCAGGGACGATGCCCTGGCCAAGCTCGAGGAGAGCAAAAGGGAGCTCGAGGAGTCCCAAAGGGCGCTGGAGGCCGAGCGGCGCAAGAATGAGGAGGCCGTGAAGGCGAAGGCTGAGGCCGAGGCCGCCGTTGTGAGGGCTGCTGATGAGGCCGTTGAGGAGTTCCTGGCCGAGGGGTGGAAGGCCGATGAGAGGCTCCCCTGGTGCTACGAGGTGGTGGCCGCCAGGCTTGAGAGTTGGGGGATGAACTCCCCCGCCGGCCAGGAGTATTTCAGCAGAGAGATGGCCGTGTATTATAACATGGGCCAGGAGCGGATGCAAAGGCTCCTGTGTCGGCGGCTATCTCGTGCTTTGAAGGCTATGAACTACACGTCTGGGTGGGCTAGACGGAACCTGAAGCTTCCGAAGCTGATGAAGGATCCTGAAGAGCAGGCCAAGCTTCCGCTGTCGGAGCGCGAGTCCCCCATTGAAAGCTCCGGCCTTGGCGAGCCGGATTATACTGAATTTGATTTCTTGGACGATGCCACCAGCGCTGCAGCCGCTGCCGGCCAGGAGACTGAGGCCGATGAGGGAGCTGATGAGGCCGAAGAGCCAGCCGCAGATGGAGGTGCCCCAGATGCCTGATCGGCTACTCATTTGTAGTTAGTTTTTATTTTTGCCAAATGATGTAACGGCCGAAGAGCCCACCTTTGTACTGAATTGAATATAAATGAAATTTGTTGCTGTCCTGATCGGCTTTGAATTCCTTGTATGCTTATTTGCCATTTGTCATCTCAACTCTAAAATTTGTCTAAGTGTCAAGGTCATAACTTGGGTCACCCGCGAGTGTCCGCTACGTCCGTGATGTCGGCCTCCCTGTCCGGTGGCCTGGTCGGCCTATTCATCTTTGCTTTACTATCATAACACTTAGGAATTGTTTCAAAAAATTCCTAAGTGTTTTGGCTCCACGTAGTTGCTGTCTTTCCGGCCTAGTGGCCTGCTCGGCCTAGTCGTCGTTTCTCTACTATCATAACACTTAGGAATTTTTTCCAAAATTTCCTAAGTGTTTTGGATCCTTTTAAGTGCCTTCTCTTCAGCCCGGTGGCTTTGTCGGCCTGTCCGGTGTTGATGTAATGTCATAATACTTAGGAATTTTTTCAAAAATTTCCTAAGTGTTTTTGGATTCTTGTGGTTGCTTTCCTTCCGGCCTTGACTGTGGTGTCCGCTCCGTCCAGGCTTTGGCTTTCTTATCTTTTGTTAGAATTTTCCCAAGTATCTAACTTCAAGTGGCTGAACGTTCGCATCGTCCTGGCCTTGGATTTATCATTCTTGACAAATGCTCTGGGAGATTTCCCAAGTGTTTGAGCCAGTGTCGTTGTCAGCCTGTATCCTTTGTGTTGTTGCCGATAAGGGCACCTTAACCTTGATCTTTTTGAACTTAGAATTCTTCTAAGTACACATGCAGAGGTGTAGGTAGCTAACGGCCTTGGAGTATACTGGTACCCGCTTCGGCTAGAGTTCCTTCATTTGAGTACTTAGATAATTTCCTAAGTATAAATGTTAGGCATTTACTTCTTTGCGGTGCCGCTGCCGGCCAAGGTCTGGCTTGTGGCCGATGAGGGTGCTGGATAAGGAATGGCTTGTCCAAGGAGATGGTCCTATCTTCGTCGGCTAGCCATGGTTCCTTGTTGAGGAACCCTCTCTTTTCTCAGGATTTTTTCTAAGTGTTTGGTAAACACTTGAACAAATTCCCAAAGAACTTTCGCTTGACCAACAGCCTTGGTTCCAGTGCCTGCGTCGGCCATCCGAGATGCTGTGGCAAGTAGAGGTTGTTTCTTGATTGCTTGATCCTTCCGCGGGTGTGATAAGTGCCCGCTTCGTCCTGGTCATCCTCAGGATTGCGATGCTTTGTTTCATACCAAGCGTTGGTGCCTCAAAGGACTATGGCCGATGAAGGTCACCTCTCGCGTGTCACCCAACCGATGCGGTTAGGGTTTTATAGGTGTGTGTTTCGGCCTTGATTATTCCCTTGTAGTGTGTGGACGTGTCGTCCATGTTACCTGTCAGTGGTACTACACTTGTGTTCAACTGATATGTACTTGGCCTAGTTGGGCCTGAGTTGTGGGGATTTTATTTTTTCATTGCTCGAGGCCGGCTAGTGTGCGCGGCCGTCTGCTTCCCTCTTTTCCCTTGTATATAAATATATATATTTTTTATTTCCGGGGAGTATCCTTCTTTCAGGCTTCGGCCAAAGGGTGTGCTCGTCCTTCGGTCAGTTCGGACTTCGTTTTTAACGTCCGTGATCTCGGGGCGGGTCCCGTCGCCTATTTATGACGCGGGCTAGACTTTTGGTCGATTTCCAACGGCTGTCGTTGCCCATTCCTGAGTTTTGGGATTTTGTCACCTCGGCCATGATTTCAGGCCTGTCGTCCTGCGTTCTGGCGCGTGGACGACGCGGTGAGCTTCCCGTTTCAAGACGTGGGCCGTTTGCGGGCCCCTCGTCCTGGGGACATCGTCGGCCATACCTGAGCGTTTCACTTCTAGGCTTACGGGGCCAGGACGATGTGCTCTCTCAGCTAGGCCTGAGCCCTTCGCTGATACAAAATACAATGGAGTGCCTGAGCTTGTCGCTCGTAGGCTGCAAATGCAAGGGGCCATGTCGGCCATGCCTGAGCCTTTCGCTCTAAGGTGGCCGACACGGGCACCTGCTAATGTCTTACTTTAAATTCCAGAGGAAAAATCAGAACATGATTTTATTCATAAGTGGCTCGAGGCCGAGGGTGGCGTTCAATCAGTAACCCGTTAAGGGGTGAGGGCTTCGCCGTCTGCACCTCCTTCGGATTACTGATAAAACTTCACCAGATGGTGTACATTCCATGTTCGTGGTACATTGGACCCATTCGGGCGTTTAAGCTTGTAGGTGTCGGGTTTGACCACGGCACTGACGATGTAGGGCCCTTCGTACTTCAATGCCAGCTTGCCACCCTCTGTCGGCTGGCTTGCTTCCCTTCGGCGGAGGACGTAGTCCCCCACTTGAAATTCCCGGGAACGTACCTTGGCGTCATAGTATGATTTTACTTGACGCCGGTAGTTCTCTGCTCGGACGTAAGCTTGCTCACGCCTCTCATCAACCAGGTGTAGGTCAATCTTCATATTCTCTTCGTTGGTGTCAGGCTCATATTGTTCCACCCTCCGGCTGGGGATGGTAACTTCCGTGGGCGCCTTTGCTTCAAAGCCGTAGCACAGGGCGAAAGGCATTTCGCCTGTCGCCCTCCTCGGCGTGGTTCTGTAGCACCACAGGATGTTGGGGAGCTCGTCGACCCAACTACCTCCTGCGGCCTGGAGTTTCTTCTTTAGCCCTTCCATGATTGCTCTGTTGGCGTTCTCAACCTGCCCGTTGCCCTGAGGATAGGCAACGGAGGAGAAACGATGCCTCACCCCAAACTCCCGGAGGAGCTCCTGGAAAGGGGCTGCCTCGAATTGGGTGTCGTTGTCTGATATAATCTCCTGGGGGACGCCAAAGCGTGTGATGATGTTCTTGTAAACAAATTTTTGGCACCTGGCCCCTGTGATGCTGGCCAAGGGCTCCGCCTCGACCCACTTGGTGAAGTAGTCGACGGCGACGATGATGTAGCGGTTATTCCCGGCGGCTCTAGGCAGGGGGCCGACCAGGTCAATCCCCCATCTGGAGAATGGAATTGCGGTGCTGACGGGGGCGTAGTTGACAGCTGACCGACCAGGGGCCTTCTGGAGTACCTGGCATGTGGTGCACTTCCTGGCCAGGTCAGCACAGTCGCGTGCCATCGTCGGCCAGAAGAAGCCCTGGACGACGAGACGCCGGGACATGCTGAAAGGGCCCTGGTGTGAGGAGCAGACACCACAATGAACTTCTTCCATGGCTGTGTCGGCCTCGTCCTGGTGCAGGCATCGGAGGAGAGTGCCATTATAGGACCGTTTGTAGAGTTTGCCATCCTCGATGGTGTAGCTTGGGGCCCTGATTTTGGCAAGTTTGGCCCTCTCCTCGTCCGGGGGCAGCTCCCCCGTTGTGATGAAGGTGGCGATGTCGGAAATCCAGTCCTCTGGTCGCTGTTGGACGCACAAGACGGGGCTGGCATGGATGTTGGACATGCTCAACTCCTCGATCTTGGCCAACTGGGAGATGTGCTCCGGGGTGTCCGAGCTGAGTTTGGAGAGGATGTCGGCTTCGGCGTTCTCGGCCCTGGGGATCTGAGTGATCTTGTGGGTTTCAAACGCTTTCAGCAACTCCTCCGCCGCTTGTTTGTACTGCTTCATCCGGCCTTCCTTTGTTTCGTACGATCCTTCCACCTGGCCCACTACCAGTTTGGAGTCGCACTTGATTTTGAGGTGCTTGGCCTTGAGGCCGGCGGCGAGTCTGAGACCGCTGAGGAGGGCCTCATACTCGGCTTCGTTGTTGGATACCCTGAAGTTGAAGCGGATGGCATAGTAAGCTCTGAATCCTTCAGGGGATATGAGGACGACGCCGCCGCCGCATGATTTCGCGGCCGACGTGCCGTCAGTGAACAGGGTCCATGTATCGTCCTGTTCCGGCCCGGGGTTGGCGATGGCCGTCTCCCTTGCTGTGCATTCGATGACGAAGTCGGCCAAGGCTTGCCCTTTGATGGATGGCCTTGGCTTGATCTCAATTTGAAATTGGCTGAGTAAAATTGCCCATTTCACCATCCTAGAGGAGCTGGTGGGGCTCCTCATGAGTGCGCCGAGAGGCTGCTGGGTCAGTACATGGACGGCGTGGGCCTGGAAGTAGTGCCCCAGCTTCTTCACCGTGTGGACGATGGCCAGCACCGTCTTCTCAATGGGGGAGTACCTGAGCTCGGCCTCCCTGAGTGTCTTGCTGATGTAGAAGATGGCCTTCTGCACCCCTTCGTCCTCACGGATGAGCACAGAGCTCATGGCCGACGTGCTCACCCCTAAGTACAAGAAGAGGGTTTCGCCAGCTCTGGGCTTGGAGAGCACGGGTGGGGACGACAGGTACCTTTTCAATTCGTCGAATGCCTCCTGGCACTCCGTCGTCCACTTGAAGCTGCTGGCTTTCCGCATGATCTGAAAGAAGGGGAGTGCCCTCTCGGCTGACCTGGAGAGGAAACGGTTTAAGGCCTCCAGGCGCCCCGTCAGTCGTTGTACCTCCTTGACGTTGCGGGGCGGCTCCATGTTGATGATAGCCTGCGTCTTCTCCGGGTTTATCTCGATGCCTCTCCGGCTGACCATGTAGCCGAGGAACTTGCCGCCCTGGACGCCGAAGGCGCACTTCTTGGGGTTGAGACGGAGCCTGAACTCCTTCATTATTTCAAAGATTTCCCGGAGGTCGTCGGCGTAGGAGGTGGCCTGCCTGCTCTTGACGATCATGTCGTCGACGTACGCCTCCATCGTCCGGCCAAGGACCGCTCTGAAGATCTTGGCCACCATCCTAGTATAGGTGGCGCCGGAGTTTTTGAGTCCGAAGGCCATGACGAGGTAGCAAAAGATTCCCTCCGGGGTCATGAATGCCGTCTTCTCAGCGTCATCTTCATGCATGGAGATCTGGTGGTACCCTCTGAAAGCGTCGAGGAACGACATCAACTCGCACCCCGCCGTCTCGTCCACCAGCTGATCAATGTTGGGGAGGGGGAACGGGTCCATGGGGCACGCCTTGTTCAGGTCAGTGTAATCAACACACATTCTGAACGTCAGCGGTTTCTGGGCGAGGACGACGTTGGCCAACCATGTCGGGTACTTCACCTCTTTGATGTGTTTGATTGAGAGGAGCAT